TTCTGGTGCTGATTTGCCGCGAAGTGTTGAATGACTGGCACTGCGTAACAAATGACCACTAGATTGCTTAGATGCTAAGTAAGCAGAATTGAATGGTGATGATTCAAATTCGAGTTGTTCAATTTGTATTACTTGCAGTTTAAGATCATCCATTGCTTTAATTTTATCTGGATTATTGGTAAGTAAAATAAATTGAGCATTACCAATGCCAAGCAAATCACAAATTTGTGGAATATTTTCATAATGTCGATGATCTTTCTTCAAGCCCATTAAATAATATGCTTCAAATGTTGAAATTTGATCGCATGATGCTTGTACAAGCATTCGATCGCGTGCTTTTCCAACATAACCAGCACCACGACCTTCTTGTAAAAGATAGAATAGAATGCCATGTTTTTTTTCAGATATTATTTTAATAGCGCCTTCCAACTGTTGTACACAATCGCAATCACTTCCGCGTAATGTCTCACTTGTTACACATGATGAATGAAGACGAATATAAAATGGTTTATCTTTTTCTTTAATTTTTCCATAAGTTAAAGCTATAATATAATGTTTTCCGATCAAATCTTGAAAAATATAGGCGTGAAATTCACCGAAACGAGTCTAAAATGAACATGTTAGAAAAGAATTTATTCGAACAATGTACAAATCAATAAATTTTCATATTCAATATCAATTACATCATTACTAACACATCTTCTAGCAAACGAACTTAATCATTATTCAAAAGACTAATGTATGAATAATTCCTTGTTGACTTAACAATTTCGAAACGTTTAGTATTTTATGTAAAAATCGAAAAAAGACTGCATAAAATAAAAAAATTGATATGTGAATGTAATTAGAAGAACGTGTGTAGAATGAGAATAGTTTTAATTAAATCTTATCACTACCTAAAGGGTACGAAAAGTTAATATAGTAAATTTTCAAAATATTCAGTCACTTAAAATATTTGTTTCTCTTGTATATATTGTGCTTGAATTCAATAAGAAAGAATCTGTATTTAAAACTACTGAGATTAAAGAAAAAAGACGGTTTAGCAATTATTCTCGATCAAATAAGATTAGTTCGAAAATCTAAATGGATAGATTCTTGCTTTTACACTCTACTTTGTATGCTTTTACAAAAAAAAAAAAAAGAACCCTTACATCAACATTACATTCAGCAATATAGAGTGTTGTACCACGTAAAGGTCGTATTTCAGTTCTGTCACGTAAATTTTGTGCTTCATTTGTGCAATTTGAATCCGATAATTTGCTGACTAATGCGCCGTCGGGTGAGAGTAGTTTAATCAACAGTTGTGAATGCGGAGTGTGAACAGAATCTGATGTATCTGGCTGCAAAATGTGATTGTTGGGCAGACTCTCTTCTAAATCAATATCATCATTAGATGATTCGCTGCTAACATCATTGCGTCCACGAAATTTTGATGGGCGTGAATTGCTGTGTTCATCATCAGTTGTAATCACAATCGAAACCAACGAAGAGCTAGGCGATAGGAGTCCTGGTGAATCATTATTGATCAAATCGGTCATATTTGTAGTGTAGCGATGAAATGAATTGAAATATTGTTATTTTTTTCGATAGAAAAAATCCAATTTGAATTGAAAAAAATAAGATTCTTTATATAAGCTACGACAAACGAAATTCGCATTTTATCGCCGAATATACAACTGATAAGTTTAGAATGTGAACAAACACATCTGTAGTATATCAATGTATCGTAATATTGTTACTGACGTATTTTAACAAGTGCATTAGGAAAAGGACGTTCTTATGTATTTTTTCTTTCAGTATATTTGATACAATGACCAAGATAAAGAAAACGACATATTAATAAAACGGTACTTCCTCAAAAATACGTTTTTGAATGCACAGATGTAACCGTTTCTTTAATGACATAAGCAGTAGTTTGCTATTTCTTTCATGAATACATGAACAATTTCTTGCTTATAGTGACATTGAAAATAGTCGTATATGATACTATTAATTCATTTTTTGTCATATTAATTTATAACCGAACGACCAGACTATTTTTGTGTGGCTTGATAGCTTTTTTCAAGGAATTCAAAATGGTATAAAACTATCGAGAAAAAAAAAACACTCGTCACTCAAAGAAATCTATTACTAGAATTTAGTAAATTTCGATTTAAAATTAATATGATATTCTGAATCAACATTCCAAACTGACGTGAGTCGACTTATGTATATTTCAAATACTTTCACAATAATTTTTTTTTTGTCGAAAACTGTACTCCTGATCTCTTCAATGTTGAGTCAAAAACTAAACTTCATAAAATCTTTTTTTTGTTTTATTGTTTTTTAATTTGCTATTTGGATTTCTCATATCATTTCATAATCTTAGAAGTTGATTTTCACTGTAAAAGTAAGTTTTGTGGATGAAATTCATTTTTTAATCCAACTTAGAGAAGAACCAAGAGTCCTCTTTTCGACGAAAAAGAAGTTTGTGAAAACATTTGAAATACACACAACATTAGAAGATTTCTATTTTTTTATTACAATTTCAACGAATTCAACATGACTTCATCTTGATTAAAAATCTTTTTTTTTTCTCTTCTCGAAATATGAAATAAAATAGTCTAGAATGGAGTTGCACTTCTTGATTGATCTTTATTCAAGAATCCATTTAAAACCGTCTTATGATTTGAATCCGTTGCTTTTGTCTACACCCATACTCTTTAAGAAACTTGATCAATTCGTGACGAAACTTGGCAGATGACAATGAATAAATGTAGAAGCCAGCTATTTTATAGAAAAATTAAAACAATTGACCGAGACGCTGGCTCAGATCTTCTCAAGTGAATTGCTCGATAGTTTTCTATTATGTTCTTGTTAGTGTTCGATAAAATTTAGGGATGTTCAATGGAAAAGTCAGGACAATAATACATTCAGTTTGTACAAGGGTCATTTGTCGAAAATCAAGAATACGATAGTGTCGACGATGACAAACACACACTTGCATACTATGATGAAGATGATGAATATTAAAAAATCGAATACGCCATTTAACAGAGGATAAAAAGCTGCTTGAGTAACAAGAAAGCTGATCTGTTCTATCAATTCTGTTTTGTTTATTACAGACCATTTGCTTGACTTTTTTAAATCAAAATGTTTCATGATTATTTATGTTTGTGTATCGATTGTCATTCAATTACTAGTCATTGTTTTATGATTTCAATCATTCTTGATTTGTCGAGATTGATCCTATTGAGACCGATTATGATCATATCAGTCTAGATTAATATATATATATCTTCTCATTCAATAAGAAACGTGATATATTTGTTTCCGTAAACATCAAACTAAGTAATATATTTTGAGATTAATGAATGAACATGATAGTAGTATTCTTTTTCTCGATATTCTTTCTTGTAATTGAGTAAAGATTAAATTTAGCGATCAAGTTATTGCTTTCTTAACATGAATTTTTATGATCATTATAGTTATTCACAAGTCAGTGGAACTCATGTTTTCTTACTCATGAAAATTTTCATCATCAATTCAGTTCTTTCTATTGACTTTCAAATAAAACTCTGATTGATTTCTTATCAAACACAATACTATTGTTTCAATTGAATAAAAACCTGCTGAATGAAGTCTATCTCACATAAGATCGAACATCTTGTAGAATAACAATCGAAAAAAATCGGTCATTGGAATGAATAGAGAGAATCTCCTATTCTTCTAAGGATGTTCTGATTTTGCTTGTCATAAAAATGTATATAATAGGCAGAAAAAGCATAAGAAGATCAATCATTGACTAAAACTGATCTGTCGTCTTCTAGTCTTATCCAAACCAACGAAGTATGAATTCAGTAGATATGTTTCAATGTTTCGATCAATTTCAACATTTTTTATCAGGTGAAAACATTCTTCTGTCTACTCTTTCATTGTGTATAGGTGAGGTGTTCAGAAACATGAACATTGAACATATTTCAGATAACATATTATGCTACAGACATCACCAATATAGCCAATCTAACAGAAGTCTTTCTAGAAACAGAAAAAAATTATATTCTATTGGCCGCGATGCATATTCATTAAAAAAAAATCAAACGAAACATTTTTTTTTAGAAGAAAAAAGAATAGAATTTTCTTCGCATAATTCATTGATCTCATAAGAATAGAAATTGAACATAAGTTCAACTCTGAATAGTACTTATTAAGATTATTTAAGGTAATATATTCCTCTGATCAAACTAAGTGAAACACCTAATTTTTTCGATTAATTCTATGCGTTGTTGTCATTTAATATAAAACCTATACAAAAAGTACATTATTGGTTACTCTATCTATTTCTAAAGCTTCAGTCACAAATGATGAGGAATGAATGAGAAAATTGCAATTATATTTCAAGTAATCGAGTATCAATCTGGTTTCTTGGAAACCGATATTTCAGAGCCTTATCACACCTACACCCATTCGATACACGATCATCCTCAATTTAGTCATCATTTTAATGGCGTGCCCACTACATGACGATGGATATCCAATGAACTGATTTCGTGTCTAAAAACGTCGTTAAAATCAGCATAATAACGAAATTTCGTTTCAACGATAATCGAGCATATGAAATACAGTTGCAACTTTCGCATTCAGTTCTCGTCATCTGTGACTAGAACTCTAGAAATAGATAGAGAAACCCACAATATATTTATTGTATAAGCTTATATCAAAGGATAACAATACAGAGAATGGATCGAAAAAATTAGATGTTTCGTTCATTTTAGTCAGACGTATATATGTTACAGAAAAAGTTGAAATTAGGACAATTTCAAATATCTCTATATGGAAAATTGAAGTTTTAATTTCCTCTGCTATATGTACGTACTCAATAACTTGAACAAGAAAACCTAAAAGATCATGTTGAACTGTATAAGACGTTATTTTAAATGTTTCCATATAGAAACAACAAATGTAACATTTCATCTTAAACAAAGTCCATTTCATTTTAATCAATGAACTGAATTATTTAATTGAAGACGTCACCTTTGAAGATCTGTTATATATTAACTTATATGAAATAAAATTCGATTCAACATCCGAAGAAACTATAATAATATTATGTAAATCTTTCAGAATATTGGAGAATTCATGACTATCTTTTTCCGTTGAAACTTTTGTAACACTGCATTTATTATCTGAATCATTATATATATATTTCACGTCGCAATCTGTTGTGTAAAACGATTTAGTCGAGACTCGTGTATATAAGAACAGAGAATGGATTATTCATGTTCGACTGAATTTTATAGTATTGCTTCTTCTAGCGTATTAATCAAAAAAGAAAAAAAACAATTTGCTTTGCTTTTTTTTTAAAACTTGATATCGAATCTAGAAGAATGTTAGTGACGAAATTGATTTCACTTTAACCAAATTACTGAAAAATATCACTCGTGAGATGTGTCATATTAGCTTAACTATCATTTTCATATTAGGTGTCATTGGGCATTTGTTCAATTTTATTATTGTTTACTCGTCCAACTATGATAAAAAAATTCGTGTTGTCAGTATTTACTCGCTTCGACTTTTGTTTCTCTCATTCGACTCCTTTTTGGTGTATTTGTGCGAATCCTCTATTTGGATTATCATGTTGACACACAAGAGTTTACTATCGAATAGGTGGTGTAAAACTCGCCTTTTGGTTGCTTACACATTATACTTGGTTTCCATCGCACTGAATACTATGGGTTCATTTGATCGCTACGCATCGAGCTGTCGAGTGCCAAAATTGACGTATTTATCGTTCAATCTTAACTCATCGTATTATTGCCATTGTAATTGTGGTCACATGTATCATTAATTCTCATATGCCGTTTAACTTGATTGTTGTCGATGGAAATTGCTAGACAAGACCTGAATGATACCGAAGAGCCTATGATGTATTCTTTCAGGTCCTATACAGTCTCTGTTGTCCACTTTTGAGTGGAAATGTTTCTTTGTTGACTGTAAACAATGTACGTCGATGTCATGTGCCACGTGTATTCAAGCCAAAATGAAAGACTTTCAACTCATAACATTCGCTCATACAATATGTCTCATTCTTCTCATTATATCACTCACTATTCACAAGTTGTACTAGACTCTGATAGACCACCATCCAGTAGCCTTAGGACAACGTCAATGGGAAAGTTTGAGCATGTGTATCGTTCGAATTTTATGATTCGAAATGATGGTGCTAGATTGTATATTTATTTACTTTTATTTGATAAATCTTAACTCGTACATTATACAGCAAACATCTACGTAGGATATAACCAAAAGAGTAGCGCATACACTCTAATATTTTATAGAAGGCTCGAGAAGGTGGATGTTACTATGGCTGTGGGTGTATATGTGAGGTTAAGATGTGAGTGTAGGTGAACGTATGGGTGTGCTTGTGGAGTTAGGCTGTGGATGTAAGTATTTGTCTTCTCCCATCGTACACCTACGCCCACATCTAGATACCCACACTCACACCACCCTTATTATTCTTAAAACAGCGTCCTTCTACAAATCTTCTTAGGAGAAAATTCGCGAGACCATCAAGTATCATGTCAATATGCGAGGCACTGGATAAAAAAAAGCAATCTTTTTATTGTTTTTGCTCCTTCAACGCTTCAATGTTCGAAATTACCAACCGCGAAATTTAACTTCTAATACCCTTCCTTTGTAAAGTTAGTCAAGACTGATTTGCAGCATTGTCATGACTTCAATAAAAAAAAAAAAACACTAAAATATACTCTATAAAAGTTATGCCAGATTGTGATTCAACAGATCATTGAAATTTTCGTGTTACATACTAGAAGATAGAGAATTCAAAGCTGAACAAAATAAGCTATTTGGATATAATATAATGTTTAGTAGCTCAAGCTTTATAAAGACAACATGAATTGAAAATACTCCTTTTTTTCAATCTAAAACATCCATCCAACAATCATATATCTTCTATTATATTTTAGAATCAGAAAGTTCCAAGCTGAGTTTTATATATGTTATGCAACTTTTTATTTTCTACAAAATGATGGAAAAGTATTCGAAAAAAGGTTCTGTATTCGAGTCAAAGCATGACTTGCATTCTCCTAACTTTTGATTATTTTTGAATACAAAAAGGAATATTTTTCGCGACTTTCATTGCCATGACACAATTGTAAAGTGAAATAGATACGACGTTCAGAATCAGCATAAAAAACTGTATGGACTGATATATATTTTAGGAAAAATCTTTTTTCCTGTGCGAAACTGACCTGTGGGAGACCAGAGAGAAAAACATTTTTCAAAATACAACTGTGGAGAATCACAGGTCAGTTTCAGACAGGAAAAAAGATTTTCCCTAAAATACATGTCAGTCGATGCAGTTGTGATGCTGATTTCGAATATTGGATCTATTTTGCTTTACAATGGTGTGACAGCAATGAAAGTCGCGAAAAATGTTTCTTTTCTACTGAAAAATCATCAAAACTTAGGAGAATGCAAGCCATGCTTCGACTCGAACACAGAATCATTTTTCAAATACTTTTCCATCATTTTGTAGAAAATAAAAAGTTGCATAACATATATAAAACTCAGTTTGGAACTCTTTGATTTTGATAGATAATAGAAGATATATTGTGTTAAAGTGTATGTTATAGACTTGAAAAAGGGATGGTTTTGATTAATATTGTCTTTATAAAACTAGAGCTGCTATCTAGAGCAGTTCAAAACTAGTGAGAGTGATACTTTAGTTTCTTATAAAAAGCTTAAAGAAACTTTCTATCTATATAGTCTGATAGAGAAAAGAATGGTCTATTGTTCTACGCTATTTGATCATAGTTCAACTAATGTCATAATGATAATTAATATTTTGATAAAATGTGTTTATGTGTGACAGTTCCACGAATGCTAGTGAGTATTTTTTGAATAACTTTTGATAGAAACAAGATAAAGAACTATGATTGTCACCGTTTGAAAGAGGAGATGAAGATGCATCGAATCGCGTATTAAAGATTTTCTAATATTGTATTTCGAAGTATTGTTATTCAATTTTCTAACTGTCGAAAAAATGTGTTTTTTTTTATGAAAAAAGAAAAAAGCGAAAAAGAGCGCTTTTTCCACAGATTTTGCTAGAAAATCGTAATAGAGTCTTAACGTTTCGTACTTCGTAGATCTTAGCTTAGTTCTTTGAATTTATACTTGATCATTGAAAACTCACTGTAAGCAACTTATCAGATTGGTCTTTTCTTAACCAGTTTAATTGAAAACCTTATAAAAATCAGATCAGAAAATCCTGGAATATAGGATTTGACGCGTCTTCATTTCCTCTTTCCAACGATGAAAACCGCAGGTCTCTATCTTATTTCTGTCAATAGTTATTCAAAAAATACTCATTCGTATTTTTTTAACATGAGTATTAATACAACCGGCACGCATGATAACGAAACGGATCTTGTCGAAATATTATTCTTATGACATCAGTTGCACTATAATCAAATAGCATAGAACAATAGACCATTCTTTTCTCTATCAGACGATATAGATAGAAAGTTTCTTTAAGCTTTTTATAAGGAACTAAAGTATCACTCTCACTACTTTTGGACTGTCCTAGGTAGATATTATAGTATATCCAAAGAGCTTATTTTGTTCTGTTTTAAATTCTTTATCTTCTGGTGTATAGTATGAAAAATTTCAATAATCTGTTGAAACGCAATCTGGCATAACTTTTATAGAGCATATTTAAATGTTTTTTTTTCATTGATGTCAGGACAGTGCTATAAATCGATCTGGACTAACTTTTCACAGCAATGGTATCAGAAGATAACATTTTTCGGTTGGTAATTTCGAACATTGAAGCGTTGAATGAGAAAAAAATATCTTTTTTTTATTGAGTGCGTCGTATTGTTGATGCTGTCACAAACTCTCTCTTAAAAATGAGTCCGTCACGGTTGGACAGGTGGAAATGTCAAATCGTTCTAACCTTTACATTAACGTTATATATCTTCATTTAGAATAGTCAAAGACAAATGAACGGTCAGTGGCTTCGTAACGCATATAATTCTACATACAATATAAAGGCCAATAAATATGAAACGATTGTAGAGTCCTGCGGGAACAACATTTTTGGTTCCTGTTTCCTATTCCATTAAGAAAAAAAAATTGTTTCTGTTCCCGTAGTACTTTCAGAGTTCCTCTATTACTGTTGTTTTTTCGTGTCTGAGAAAAGCTATTATTACAAGATACTAGCTTCTCTCAATGTTGCACATTGCCCAAACATGAGACGGCCTTCAATTTAAAATAAAACTTTCGTTGCCGGTGTATTTTAGTGAGAAGAACCCACTATTATCTATAAGTCAACATTTAACAGCATTAAGTTAAGAGAATTATTTTCTTTATCAATGGAACAATTGAAAAGAGAAAAAAGGCTAGCACATCAACAATACCGATGGAAAACGGATGTGTGGGTGTAGACATGGGTGTTTGAATATATTTTCTTTTCATGCACATGACACCTCCACCTTACCCACGGCCACAATCCTATCGATATTTATGTAACAGATTCTGTTCCAACATCCTTTCATATTCTTGCTCTTTTAATCCGAACAGAACGTTAATCGATTCGTCGTTTCGATTTGCGTCCATCATAATACAAAATCTTGATCCACGATATTTTGTTGGACCATTAAAAATGGGATAGCTGTCATTACCATGAAAACTTGCTTCAAGCATGTCCACTTTACGCCATGATGTACAATGAAAATCACAATTACATATGTCGGCATCAACTCGATTCTTTCGAATATTGCCATCATCACTAGATAAATATGCATTATAATATCTCAGCGAGTTTTCATCTTGTTTTGAATACATGTTATGTATTGTTTGAGCTAATGATGAAAGAGTTAGTGATTCTTCTATCGGTACTTCTTCGTAAATCCAAAATACAAAACAACCGAAATAGCCAAGAACGACTTGTGAATGTGACGGAACGAATCGTGAGCGACCATTGAATGGCTGTAGAATCTTAATCTTTTTATTTTGATTGAGAGAAGGTTGACTGACTTTGTTGATAACCAAAATTATATGAGCATATAGAGAATCATAGGTGCTAATGTAATCAGCTCTATTTGTTAGACCTTTCATAGCTTCTTCTTTAATATTTTTCAATTCGCTTGTAGAAAAATGATAAACTTTACAAATAACACGTTGTCGTGGTGTTTGAACGAATGGTGATATTGATAACAGATCTATATTTCTATTATACACACAGTCTAATGGACGACTAATGGGTTGGTCAACCGATGGGAGAAGTACGAATGATTTATCCGTCATTGGAGAATATGATTTGAACTTGCCACCCGAAGCCCAAGTGTTCATAAAATGGGCTGTACTTTGTGCATCCATCAAACAATGAAATGCTGAAAGTGATAAGATAACTGAACCGCATTGAAGACGCGTCAATTGGATAGAGAGCATTGGTCCTGTCCAATCACTGGTAACTAGCACAGACAAATCAGATGAATTGATATTTTCATAATCAAATTCTTTAATGTCAGCTGTCTGCTGTATAAAATAATCCAATTTTTGATTGTTACATCTAGCTTCGGTAAATAAGACACCTTCGTTGGTTAGATGCACTATGGCATTACCATTTGTATCTTCGATAATACGACCAGCTAAGATTGGGAAATAGTTGAGTGTATCGGATAATGTTGATTGTAACTGTTGAGATGGCATGAAGTCGTCGACATCAATTTTAGAATTGTTTGAGTAAATCCAGATGATGCCAATTGGACACAATTTTAGGCTTGACTCAATAGCCAGACAAGTGATGGTTTTAACATTGTCTTTTGGCGGATTCGAACATTTAATTATTTGCGAAGGTTTTTTAATGATGACTGACATAGTGACCAAAACTGCAGCAATAATGGAGAAAGTTATACAGCTCGATATGCAAGAAACTCGAGACCGAAAGAAAAAAAGAAACGTTTCTCGGTTTGATTGTTCTCCAGAAAAATGTCAGCTGGCTTTTTCTTTCCTACAGAGGCGATAAGGAATGAGATGTATTAAAAAGAAAAAAGAAAGAATAAATCATTTCAATTGGCATCAGAGCGAAGGATGAGAAAATGTCAGCTAGTCGCTATTCTTTGTTGTAAAATGATAACATATCAGTGAATTAAAATGAGCGCAACGAATCATTTTCTCTAATGGATTCATAATATATGACACTTCAATGCTGTACACAGAAAAGAAGAAATTGAAAGTATCTTGAAATGCACTAAAATTGTTCAATCATGTAAGTGTTTCAACTATCTCATAAATCTACTACGTAAATAAATCTAACTTTCTATCGCAGTATTAGAGAAATATCAACTTTCGTATCGGACGATTCAATTCAGTTGTGAACTCTGTCACACAATCTATATTTAGAATATCATTTTATTTGAACACTTTTAACTTATTTTGAAAAGTATCATTGCTAACTGCATAATCCAATCGAAGTTTTGCAGTTCAATTTGTTTCAATAATAAATAATCGATGGAAGCACGTTGCCGATCTGCTATTTTCAGTCACAGTTAACAGAGTTTCAGGACCAATTCTGTTGGATAGTTCATGTAAAAACTATACGACCAGAAATCAGACTAAAATCGATTTTAATTCTATTTCTTGCAGAAGTTTTTTACATGATATTATAGGACGATATCTATCATCGCAACTATCTTCCTTCATATCGTCCCTTTCTAATATCCTTTATTCGATTCAGATAGGTTACATGCATGTTTTTCCACTGCATTAAAATGACATTATGCCACGGCGATAGAAAAGATGGCGTTGTTTAAAAGGAAGAAGGTAATAAATGTGAGAGAAAAATTTTTCGATTCGTTTGACATCAACGTGGTAATGATTGAAGTCATTTAAGAAAACAATCAAATAAAATATATACAATAAAAAATATATTTATTTTCTATTATATGAAACATTTTCATGAAAGTATATCATCAATTAAATACTGTCGGACTAACTTTGGTATAACTTAATAAGAAATGAATTTTATCATTTTTTATCTATCATCAAAGTTATAAACATTTAAAACAAAGACTAATTCATAATTTAGTACGATTTTCCTAATAAACATTTATATTTAAAATCAAATCATTATCAAGGAGTATTGCCCTTTTTTATTGTTGCTGATTACTTAAAATCTATCACACTACATTCAATTTAGTTTGTGTAAATTCTTTATAATCATATTTTCTCAAATATAAAAAACTTCATAATAATCGCAACTATTATTGATGTGGTTTTATACCAGAATATACTTAAATTTTTATAAAATTTCGAAAAAAAGATAATTACAAGAGTTTCCATTGTTAAGGTTCTTACAGCTGCAGTCGTGGCAGCTTTCAATCTAGATTATTTCCGATCTGTAAAAACCCGCACGATCCATCAAGGTAATTGCTATAAACTATATAGATATATAAATACTTTTCGAATATCTTTTACGCCAGCTTATTTAGAAAGTAGCGAGTTTTTTCATATTTAGACAGACATTTCACGTTTGTTAAGAGTGA